AAAAAAAAAAAAAAATTTAGGGCTACCTTACTCTAGTTTACTTTGAAAAGAATCAAAATCATTTTTCTCTAATAAACTTCCACAACCCTTCTTAAAATAGAAATTTGAAACGACTTTAACAATTTTTAACTTATTTCAAAAAGCATACAGCTCTGTCATCATGCAGAATTTGTTCAGAAGTTTGTTTATTTATTTACTTATTTAAACAAAGTCTCAAGCTGGCGCCCTAGGTAGAGTGCTCTGGTGTCACAGCCTACAGCAACCTCTAACTCTTGGGCTAAGTGATTCTCTTGCCTCAACCTCCCAAGTAGATGGCAGGTGTCCGCCACACCTAGCTGTTTGTTTTTTCTTGTTGCAGTTGTCATTGTTGTTTTAGCTGTCCCGGCCAAGTTCGAACCCACCAGCCTCCGAGCATGTGGCTGGTGCCTTACCCAGTGTGCTACGGGTCTTGCCCAGAAGTATATTTTAATGAGTAGTTGGGAAGGACAGCCTTTTTTGAGAAAGGGGGTCTTCCTAGTTCAAACCCCTTTCTCACTTGGGGAAAATCCCTTACTGTGGAATCATGGTGAGAGGCCAAAAGATAGAAGACAATGGGAGGAAATCTTCCTCTACACCAAGAAGGAGGACTCAGCCAGGCTGCTCCCACCCTAGACTTAGAAGTCCAGCTAGCACCACAAAGATGCTATCAGTAATAAAGTTAAAAAGGCAGCAATAGGTGAGTTAAATTCATTTTCTCCTTAAGATAGCCGAGCTAGTTTCTCTGTATGTAGCCAAAATCCTTGACTGATATTGAACTCTATAGAGACAGCTATCTGGGTGAAAAAATCAAAATTATAGGTTATAATCAGGCATCTATATGATAATCATAATCACATGATCTACTTATAACACAGAGTTATAATAAATCTCTGTTCCATAAATCTATATAAACTTGTATATAGAAATGGGACTTCTACATAAACTCCCTGGATAGTTTTATGACCTGAATCTAATCTTCAGCAATTTATAGTGATTTTTTAAAAAGTCTCTTTAAAAAATAAAAATTCAAGGAGGCACTTGTGGCTCAGTGAGTGGGGCTCCAGCCCCATATACTGAGGGTGGTGGGTTCAAACCCAGCCCTGGCCAAATTGCAACAAAAAAAATAGCCAGGCGTTATGGTGGGTGCCTGTAGTCCCAGCTGCTGGGGAGGCTGAGGTAGGAGAATCGTCTAAGCCCAAGAGCTGGAGGTTGCTGTGAGCTGTCACGCCACAGCACTCTACCAAGGGCAATAAAGTTCGGCTCTGTCTCTTAAAAAAAAAATTCACTGAGTTAAGGCTATGTGATAAATTTTGTATTTTTAAAAGTAGACTAAATATTTACATTATACTGACAAGATAACATATACCTAAATTTCTTTATAGCAAAATAAATATATGAAATAATTAACATACTGAACCAAGATTCTTCCCACCTCTGTAACTGCACATACTATTCCCTCTGCCCATTTCTTCACTAGTCTAATGCCTACAAATCACCTTGGTCTCAGCTGAAACGACATCTCCAGGAGGCCTCTGAAACTACCTCTTCAGCCTCAACTAGATTAGGCACCCTATTTATTTGTCCTCATAAACTCTCCACTTTTCCATCATACCATTTGCTGCAGGTGTAACTAAAGAATTATCGCAGTGCCTAATGTCTGCTCTCTCACAAGTGTAAGCTCAATAAGAAAGCCACTGGCCCACAGGGCAGTGCCAGGCACATACACAACACGCCCTACTGAATGGCAGCAGAAACTAACTGCCAGCAGAGGAGTGGCAGGAAGGAACACACAGTGTAGGAGACATAAAGTGATTTTTAGAAATAATGATTAGATTCATTTGGCTACAATGAAGGAAGGAGGATATCAAAGGTCTAGATAGACAATGGTTAGGTCGAGGCTAAATCAGAAAAATACCAGTTAACTCCTGACAAATTCCTGGGCTACAAGCCCTCAACAAAATGGGGTAAGTCTGGTTCACTCCCAAGATAGATGGGAAAGTACTCACTAGCTTCTTGCTTGACTAACTCCCTGGGAAATGAACCGACTGTCCTGGGCTGACCTTTAAACAATACCAGGTGGAAAGAATACTGAGACAAAGATGTATAGGGAAAATATTAAAACAAAAATCATGTATGGCTGGCTAACTGCAAAATTCCGCTTCTGTACAATGCTTACTTGCTACCCCACCCAAATGCACCTGGACAGCCTGCGTGCTAACCAGGATGCAGACCAAGCCTTAAAAACCTGGCCACCTGAGCACTCAGGGCTTATCTCAGAAACCCCATGTTGGGACACTGAGGCAGCCGCTGGCTGGCTCTTCAATAAAAGGACTGTGATGTAAATTTGGCTTGTTTGGCAGTGTGGTCTTTGTGGAACTCCTGGGCACTACACAACCTTGAATTTCAGGGATTCACTAAATATTCATGAATAAGAAAGCAAACCTGTCTAAGTTATTCTAAATGATTCTGGAATTGCACAGAGGGTTGGTTGGAAGCACAATCAGTGGCATTCAACCCATTCACGGTGCTGTGTGGGAGTGGATTATGTTGCAATAGCTCAGGTATGTACTTCCCAAACTTCAAGACATTCTCACATCGCCTTTACAATGTTTTACCATACTTATCTTCAATCGTTATTTGTATAAATTGTGTAAAACTTCATTTTACTTACATTTATGTGAAAAGCAAACTTTTACTATTATACATGTAAAATCAGTCTTGTATGCCATAGAAATAAAATTTAATGATAAAACACAATACAAGAAAAAATACTAAATTCCAACTTGATACTATTATATGCCAAAAGTTCTAAGCCTCAGGCTTGCTTTATACAAATATTTGTTGAAAGGGAGATTAATATAATATAGTTGGTGAAATGTTTGAAAGTTGCGCTAATACCAAATTGAGACACTCACTGATTTAATCAGAGGGACTGAAGTTATTAAAAAGAGAATAATTCATTGATATACGAGAAAACCTAACATGTCATCAATAAGCCACCTGGTATTATGCCACACTTTGGGAAATACTAGTGTGAAAATAATAAGGGTGGGCTCTATGGTAAGTTAAACAGACTTACTACATAATCCAGAAATTCCGTTCCTACCTACATACCCAAAAGAGCTGAAACAATTGTTCAAACAAAAACATGTACACACATATTCATAGCAACACTACTGACAACTGCCAGAAAGTAGAAACAACGTAAATATCCATCCGCAGGTGAATGGATAAATAAAATGCAATATCTACACAAAACAGAACATTATTCAGCCATAAAAAGGAATGAAGTTCTGATACACAGCTCAACATGGATGAACCTTGACAATATGATGGTAGTGAAAGCAGCCAGACACGAGAGACCACATGTTGTATGATTCCATTCTGTGTGACATGTTAGAAACACCAAATCCAGAAAAACTGGAACCACACAGGTGGTTGTCGAGGGCTCCGGTGGGTGGTTAACTGCTTACTGTGTGTGGGGTTCTGTCTGAGATGATGAAGTGGATTATGGTGATGGTCACACAACATTGTGAATGTGCTTAATGCTAACATGTTACACTCTTTTAATGGCTAAAATGGTAAAATTTATAATATGTATATTTTACTACCATAAAAAAAAATAAAGGCTAAACTAAGGTGGTCGTGGTGAGAACAGAAATATAACGAGAAATACACTGTAAAAAAGAACCAGTATGATTAAAGCCCTTGAATGCATACAGAGACTGAAGCAGAGAAAAGTCATCAAGAAAAATGGTAAGGATTTGAATCTTGAGTTGAGGCAGAGAAGGGAATCAAGGGAGAAAAAAACCTGAACTATTGAGGTTTGAAAGATGAGCACTGCCACTAACAAGAGAAAGAAAATCAGAGAAAAGACGTGATTTAACAGCAAAAACTGCAGGTTAGATTTGAAACACGTGGAATATGAGAAGCCAAGCACTAACAGTGACTCGGAAATTCAGGACTGTTTCCTCTAATGAGCCCAGAGGAGCTTTCAAGCAGATGAGTAGTTTTGAATAAAACTGCTAGAAAAGAAAAAATTATACTTTATTTCATTATATTTAATTATTGAATATGGTACCGAACGTGTCCATATAGAACTAATGTATTAATTTTCACAGCCAAAAATAACAAATCTTTAAGATGGGTCAGCTCGTTCTGTGGATTGTAACTAACACACATAAATACAGAACTGTCTGGGTTTTTTGTTGGGGGGAGTGGGTGAGGCAATATCAGTTGCTTTTTCTTGCTTTGTCTGCAAATTTTCTTTACTAGACACTGGTAATGAAATTGAGGAAGTCTAAGATTATCATGTACACTGCCAGAGAGTTTCACCTACGTACCAAAGAAGAATAACTACTTCCTGAAAATCCCAGCACCACAAATGCAGATACAGTTCCTTGGTGCTGCTCAATAGACTGTTATTAAATTGGAAATGCTCTGAGGTGAATT